GTAGGGGAACACTGCTAGGAGACTCAACCCAAGTGGCTCCCTGTAGTTTTCTTATAAAACTCATATTGAGCGTGGGGGCAGTGCGAGACTCTTCCAGACCATGCCCTTGTCCAGGGTTCCCACGGCTTTGGAGCCTGATGAAAGTGGTTTCACATACTGTGTGTATGTTTCTCATGAAGTTCTATGTTCAGAAATCGGCTTTCGAGTCAAAGAAAATGAAGTGAACTTGTTTAAACAAAAGGAGTTTCCTCCTTCAAGCCACGCCAGCCTGCCAGCCTATAAACCTTCATAAAGCAGTGAAGGCGAGTCCTTCTTTTCCTGGCAGGGACTGACAGATCAAAGTTTACCAGAGTGGCTCCCTAGAGACACGAGAGGTGTGCACTCCTGGCCGGGAGAGCTGAACGGTGGAACTATCTGCTATCTGCATCAAAGCCCCCAGGATATAAAGCCATTTCCTGAAGGGCCCGACCCACCACCATGAGGTCCTGCCCCTGGAGACGCTGCCGCCCGGGCCGGGCTGTCCACTGGCCCTTGCTTCTTCTGGCTGTGTTGATCTTGCTCTTCTCCCTGCCCTTCTTCATCGAGGAACCTAACACAAAGCCTTCCAGGTAAGCTTCTGTTAAGTTCCTGTAGCCCAGGGTGGCAACTGCGAGTCCCAAGATGCCTCTGTGTCCATGTAGGGGTGTCAGGGGTCAGGAATGTGGTCAAGAACCACAGGGAAGGGAGAGCAAAGGGTAGACATGGGGGAAATGGAAGTGGTAGGGGAAGCCCAAAAGCCGAGAGACCGTGGGCTTGAGTAGAGAGGACATGGAGACAGGAGTCTGAAAACAATTGGACGGGTCTCCAGAGGGCACAGGTAGAAATCAGGACTACTTTCCCGTCTGGGACTGTGAGTAATAAGAGCAGCTTTGGGGTTAGTTCTTACATGCCATTCCCTGTATCCTAAAGGGAAAGATTTATCTTGTGTATTCCATTCATTTCAAAGTCACACTCACCCTAAAAAGTCTGTCAGTAAAATGAAAGATTTCCCATTTAGGGAGGAAGCTTAAATCCTGGACCCCAGGTTAAATCTTCAAAAGAGCCTTCTGGGCCATTTATAAAATAAGCACGTCTCCAGCAGGGAGGGATCCTTTTCTTTCCTCAATTTTTTTTTTCCTGTGACTTTTTTTCACTGTTCTTAAAGCTTGAAAGTAATACATGCTCTCATAAAGTTGAAAAAAATACAGAGAGATGAAGCAAGAAGTAACAGTCTCCCCACTTCCCCCTCAGTACTTTGGAGTACACGTAACGATTATATTATTATTGTACTAACGCTTCTACAGCACCTACTATGTGCCAGGCACCATTCTAAAGGCTCGCTGTACATTATTTCATTGAATTCTCATTGTTACAAGGATACTGAGGCACAGAGAGCTTAAGTAAGTTGACCAAGGGGCACATCAATACTAAGTGGTTGGACCAGGATTCGAACCCAGACATTTTGGTCCCACAGTCTGTGTTCATTGCCTTTATGCTATACAAACCCTCACAACATACATACGTCATACATACTGTTCCACAGGCTGACTTTTTTAATCAACACTATATCATGGACATCCTTTCATGTTGGGACATACAGACTTACTCTTTCTTTCTAACGGCTGTATAGTATGCTATGGAGCCCTGGTGGTGCAGTGGTTAAGAGCTTGGCTACTAAGCAAAAGGTCGGCAGTTCGGATCCACCAGCCGCTCCTTGGAAACCTTATGGGATAGTTCTACTCTGTCCTATAGGGTTGCTATGAGTTGGAATCGACTCGACGGCAACGGGTTTTTCGTTTTGGTTTATAGGATGCTATAGAATGAATTTCTTTTCTTTAACCAGTCCTTATCCAGTCCCTATTGATTAGCTCTTGGGTTGCCACTGGTTCTTCACGTACATTTTTGCACTGGTGCCAGGGTAGATTTCTAGAAGTAGAATTGCCAAGACAATTGGTATGTTCACATTAAGTGTTGATGGATACCATCCAATTGTCCTCTGAAAAGGCTATAGCAACAGGTGTGAAAGTTAACCACCCCCCCGCCACCC